CAAGAATTGGGGGATTCCTGATAGACATCCCATTGCCTATATAAGCCGTATATTATAACCAATGGAGATGAACTACTTCACGACAGAGAAGGAGTGTTTAGCAACAATCTGGGGTTTCGAGAAACTTTATGCATATCTACATGCATATCATGCATATATGCATATCTCAGATGTTACTTGAAGGTGACTAGCTGCTGTTACTTCATTATTGAAGTGGAAGAACATAGTTGGTCGTACTGCTCGATGGGCTTTGAAGCTTCAGATATATGATTTTGATGTTGTTCATCGCCTAAGGAGTTCTATGGTTGATGCTGATGCCCTTTTTCGAGCTCTTCTTTCTTCTCCATTCTCTTCTCATGTTTTTGACGAGCCTGTTGTTTAAGCATCTGTGGATTTTCTAGACGAGGATTCTATGCCATCGGTGGTTGCTATACTTGACATTCAGTGTCCACAAGTCGTGGAGCAAGATCTACCTTCTCTTGATGAAGTTCGTGAGGCTCAAAAGATTGAGCTGTGGATTTGAAGGCTTCGAGATGGGTTTGAGAATCCTGCACCACTTTGTTGATAATTTGCCTTTCCGGCATTTACATCCTCAATATCACCTTGAAAACAACCTTTTTTATTTTGTGGGACGGATCTTGATGATTATTTACGGCTGGTAGTGCCTTCTGTCTTTATTCCGCGGTTTCTCCATGCATATCATGATTCTCTTGTTCTAGGTGGGCATATGGGACATCGTTGTGTAATCGAGAAGTTGTGCAGGTGTTTCTATTAGCCGGAGATGCGACGTGATATTATTCGGTATGTGCGTAGTTGCATTTGGTGCCAAGCTCGTAATACTCCCCCTCGTGTTGTAGAAGAACAGTTGGAGTCAATTGCAGTTTCCCATTCATTTGAGTTGGTAGTGTTTGATCTTATGGGGCCTTTTCCACGGTCAACTGTTGGCAATGAGTATGTTATTATTGCTTCTGACTACTTAACTCGTTAGGTGGAAATTGGTGCTCTTGCTAGCACCTCTACGACTGCTGTTAGATATTTCCTCCTCAATTGATTGGTGTTCCAGCATTCTTGTCCAGAGTAGATTTTTTCAGATAATAGTCCCACATTTATGGCTAAGGCATTTTATATTTTGACGTCTCAATTAGGGATACACCACACTTTCATGAGTGCTTATCATTCACAATCAAACGATCTAGTGGAACGGCTTGTTCAGACATTCAAAGGGATGATTGTGAAGTATGTGAACTTTCAGCATTCGGATTGGGATGGTTATTTGCCATCTTTTCAGTATGCATATGTCACAAAGGTGCAGAGTTTTGTTAATGCTTCACTATATAAACTCCTATATGGTCATAATCCAATATTACCAATGGAGTTGAGTTTACCTTTGCGATTGCCACGAACTGCTGATGCTAGGTCGTGGGATCAGTATTTAAGGAGTATTCTTCCACTTGTTCAAGTAGAATCTACTGAACACTTAAGCCGCATACAAGTGGGACAACAACAGTGCTATAACTCTCATTATCATCCACCTGCAAAGTATAAAGTGGATGATTTGGTATTAGTCCATTTTCCCTATCTTATGGTACGTGGTTTATCTAAGGGGCTCCTTGCGCAGTGGAAAGGACTATATCGGGTCTTATGGCAAGTTGGACCACAAGTTTATGAGGTTTGGCATGACATCCAGCAGGCCGATCCTCCAGAAATTGTGCATGTAAACACTTCATACAAAGGGATCAGGAGCAGTTAATACCACCTACAGATCTACTAATACCTCCTCCTGACATTCCTCCAAATCCCAGCCCATTTACAAGAAAACCCTAATGGTCTTCCATTATTCCGAGAGGAGGGGATGATATGAGAGCCAAGTGTACAACTACAATGCCATATATTAATATTAGCATAGTGGGATTTTGGTACCCGTCAGATTGGTTTCAATCCGGACCATTCACTCCTGTATATAAGCTAATTGATATGCACATTTTCCGTATTCCCTCACAGTAGTTCTAAAATTTTATTAGTTTTTTTCTTAATGTCTAAAGAGGAGAGGGTTTTTCTTTTAATGTTAACATGGGATCTATGAATATGTAATTATGATTTCGGTACTTTTAATTTTCTCTTTGGTTTTTTTTTTTTTTTAGTAAAATTTTGCAATGGTTTTTAATTTAACATTACTACATTCAATCTAATGATTAAATTTGTTCTAAATATTTCTGCAATGCAAGTTAACTTCAATTCATCGAGCCAAGGTACTTTTTTTAAATAGTTTTCTTATTACATTTTTAATAGATTTTTGCAACAACAAAGATTTCATAATGGTAAAATTAGAAATTCTTTTTTCATAACTTTATTATCACTACCTCCTCAAAAAAACAAACTCTAAAGTGGACATGGCTAAGGCTGGGATAGCCATTATTGTGCTCAAATCTTGATCACCCTTGCTCGTCGTGTCGTTCCCAATCCTCCCCCTCTGCCCTAGCTCCCACAACCCCTTCTTCTTGCCCTTGCTGCTGCCTCCCAAGACGTCCCACAAACCATTTTTCCTGCCGTCCATGTCATTGTCCCGCCTCACTTTGTTTTACGTATTGACCGCTACAGCACGTGCTGCTAGTGGGGAATATATAACAACGAGGAAGCGGAGCTTTGAGATATCGCTATGGCGGGAACTAAGGTTTCTGGCGCACTCCTTCTCGCGGTGTGGGGCTTGTCGTGCTTGATCGCCGTCACGGCGGTGGAGGTCGTGCCGCTCAAGAAGAGGCCGCTCACGGCCGAGCGCCTGAGGCTAGCTGTGAAGTCCGTCCCTCGCAAAGCACACGCTCTTGGCTTCCACAATGTGCACGGCGCGAATTCGCTCACGGATATCGAGCCGCTCAGGAACTATCTCGACGCGCAGTACTATGGTGAGATCGGGATTGGCAGCCCGCCGCAGGTGTTCACGGTTATCTTCGACACTGGGAGCTCCAATTTGTGGGTGCCTTCCTCGCGATGCATTTTCTCTGTAAGTCCAAAGGTTTCTTCTCTTGAAAGTGATCCTTAGTTTGACTGGAATTATTTTTTTTCCTGGAGTCTCGACTGACTAGTAGTTTTGCTTCTAGAGCTTGGTTTGGTGTTATTATTGTCTTTTACTGTTTTTGTCTTCTATAGCCAGCGTGCTGGTTGCACCGTCGCTACAAGTCCAGGAAATCGAGTACTTACAAGCCTGATGGTATAACTAGTTCTACTTTTTTTTATTCTTCTGTAGAGTCTAATCCAATCTATGGCTCGTAGATGCTTCGATTGCTATCCAGTATGGGTCTGGGCAGATGGCTGGATTTTTTAGCACGGATTATGTGACCATTGGTGACGTCGTGGTTAAAGATCAGGTTTGCAAAGTTATCGATCTTATGGTCGCTATATACCTTTTGCTATGCCTGTTGTAGACATTTGCGGAATCAACAAGTGAGCCTGGGCTTGTTTTCCTCTTTGCCAAGTTTGATGGCATTCTTGGACTTGGATTCAAAGCGATTTCCATGGGACAGGTTACTCCCGTCTGGTATGTGAAGAGTCACTTTACTTTGTCATTCTCTAGTGGATCTTTATTGCAGGTATAATATGCTAGCCCAGAAACTGATATCGCAACCAGTCTTCTCTTTCTGGCTGAATCGCGATGCCTCGGATGAGGAGGACGGCGGTGAAATCGTGTTCGGTGGAGTCAACAAGGATCGGTTTAAGGGAAAACATGTTTATACACCAGTTACCAGAGAGGGATACTGGCAGTTCAACATGGGAGATGTGGTTGTGGATGGCCAGAGCACAGGTTATATCATAATGGCTTGCTATATGCACTAGTTCTTAATGGTTTTATGTTTGCAGGGTTCTGTGCTAAAGGATGTGCTGCAATTGCAGATTCTGGAACTTCACTGCTTGTTGGTCCTACGGTATGTTACAAGCCAAAAGCAGTCATCTTACAGTTGTTGTTTTGACAGGGTATTGTGGCTCAAATCAACCAAGCTATCGGGGCTACAGGGCTCGTCAGCGAGGAGTGTAAGATGGTCGTTGCTCAGTATGGTGACTTGATTGTGGAACTTCTTCTTGCACAGGTTAGTAAGCTTTGCCTCTTTTTACTCATGACTGTCTTGTCTCGTAGGTGACCCCCGATAAAGTATGTGCTCAAGCTGGGGTCTGCACTCTTCGTAATGACAAGTACATGCCTTTTTCAATTTCTCCTTGATACTGTTGCTGACCAGTTCCTTCCTGTCTTCTGCAGCCCACATATTGCGAGTGTGCTGGACAAGGAAAATCAAAAGGTTGGAGACCACGGGCTTTGCTCCGTCTGCGAGATGGCCGTTGTTTCGGTCCAGAACCAGCTCAGGCAAAACCCTACCAAGCAACAGATTGACCTCAATCAGGTATTTATGTGGAAACCATAGCTAACAACCTTCCTGCTCCGATGATTCTAATGACTTCGTGTTTTGCAGCTATGCGAACGGTTGCCGAGCCCGAATGGCCAGTCCTTTGTTGACTGCGCGAAAATCTCCTCCCTCCCGAACGTCTCATTCACCATCGCAAATCAAATGTTCGAGCTGACGCCTAAACAGGTGATGGATGCGTGACGCCAGTCTCATGCCGACGTCCATTTGTGTTCTTGCTGCTGACTCTCACTCTCTTCTCTCTCGGCAGTACATCTTGCAAGTTGGAGAGGGAGCAGCGGCGCAGTGCATTAGTGGCTTTACAGGAATGGACGTCGCTCCTCCAGCCGGCCCAATCTGGTACTCTCTCTCTCTCTCATATATTCATTTTTCACTCTCGCTCTCTCGCTCTCTCATACATTCATTTTTCACTGTAGCTTTAGCTCTCTCTCTCTCTCTCTCTCTCTCTCTCTCCCCTTTGATTTCGCTGTAGCTCTAGTACTTCTTTCTAAAGCGTTTGATTTGTTGGATCAACAGGATTCTCGGTGATGTGTTCATGGGGGTATACCATACGGTGTTTGATTTCGGGAACAAACGCATTGGTTTCGCCAAGGCAGTCTGAAAAGACTCTTAATCGTATTAAATATGCTATAAGCTTTATACAAAGATGTCGCCGTCGATAGGTACGAGATGGACGGCTGGATAGGGACCAGCCCGAGCACGTGGCCCAATCCCCGGCGTCCTGCGTGGCGCGCTTATCGCCGTTGCTTGTGAGGACCGCTAGATCCGGCATCCAACGGTGCAAAGAATAGAGCCCCGAGTATTTTGTCCGATTAGGGGAAGAAAGCTCGCGGCTCTCTTTCTTTTGTTCTCCCTCGTTCTCGTTCTTCTCCCTTCGCGCTCCGTGCATAGCTTAGGTGGGGGCATCCACATTCTCTTTCCAGAGATCTTCGCCGCAGAGGATCACCAGGATCATCCATTCTTGTCCGTGGCTCCTCCTCCTCTTCTTCCTTTCCTTGTTAATAAGGGGACGATCGACCAATTTTGGGATGGTGGCCTTCTAGATCAGGATCAGAGTTCCTCGCAGTCGGAGATTCTTTCATTCCTTCTTTCATTGTCACGAACAACCGAGTCCGGTCTTGGCTAAATACGGCACTTTGAACCTGCAACAATCCTAGGAGCATTATAGAACAATCCTTCCCTTGCTAATGCTTACCTCCATTCTCTCCACTTTCTCAAAAAAATCGAAGTACGGCATCTTCGGCCTGTATTTCCACCACCTTCTGGCAGCCCAGAAACCCCTCCCATATTGCGGAGGAATGACCGGCTCTTCTTTTTTCTCAGCAATATCCTTGGCCATCTCCTCGCTGTCCAGGAGGACAACATACTTGCTTGTTAACGCATCAGTGTCTTCCTTGATGCTTTCTTTCTCAAGCATGTCCTCTAGTTTCGTCAGTCTTTCTCTCCACGTAAGCTTCTCGTTGGTTCCAGTATCTGAAACGAAGGAAGGAGATCAGGAGGGAATCGATATATCGGTTTTCGTGACCTTCGGCGCTTTCGTTCAATTCTTGCGCTGCCGCTGCTTCATCGTCCCAAGCGTGCTCTCCAACGAACGAAGAATCGTGACGATAACTCCCATCGGGTTGCAGTAGATGCTTTCGTACGCGAACACCGCCAGGCATATTTTCTCGCCATTGAAGCTTCTCCAGCCTATTCCAAACAAAACAACAGATCCATCAAAAGACGTCTTCGAGACAAATCTAGCTTACTTGCGAACGTTTTCCAACGTTGGTTCTGGAATCGTGGCCTCCAAGTACGCTTCAGTCAATTCCTTGGCCTCTCTTTTGCTTAGCCGAGGTGTGGTTGCCGCTACGTAGAGACCTCGGAAGGAACCAATGACCAGTAGAAGGTAAAGAACAAGCGCTCCAATGTGTTGAGCATCCAACTTCTGAGAAACAAAACCAAAAACAATACTGGTTTGAGAATCAACATCAATCTGCTAGAGAAATCATACCTTCCATCGCTCCCATTGGTGCCAGGCTACGATTCGAGGCCATACCTTAAGCCTGAAATCCTCGAGCAGCTCATCACCTTCGTTTCTAGCGACTTCCAATCTTCCTCTAGCGTCTTGCGCTGCTGACGCCGCTCTGTCAAAGACATGAGACGCATTCTCGCGTAATTCCTTGTACCGAGCAGTCACGACCTCCTTAATCTTCTCTACATCCACCCCAGCCTCGGTTTCTAGATCCTGGACAAAATTCCCGTAATATCTGCTCAGCGCGGCTCGCAGCCTTCGATTCCACGACTGCTCCGGCACCGATTGGTCGTCACTACTCAGCTGCGCGCTAGGGCGAGCTCGAAATCTACTCCTAGAGCCTGCATTTATCCTCTGGACGTCGCTGCCAAACGATCTATCCACAAAATCAGTACCGCAAGGTCGACCTAGCACTGGCGCCGGGAGATGGAATGTCGGGGATGCTCTAGAGTGAGAGGCGCCATAGCCGAGAGCTTGCATTGCTCTCGGGGTGTAGGGCTTATGCTAGCTAGATGCTCGGCGAATATTTACGAGGTATATTCCCCAGACTATTCAATTAAACTCTAGCCCACCCAAAATGGGCAACTTTAAACCAGTAAAATACATAAATAAAATAATGTTACATGGCTAAATTGCTACATCATTTAAAATTTTGCCCACTTTACTTTTGCTACTGGGTGAGTGTGGGTGAGTGTGTAAATCTTGAGAAGGGACTTTTTAGTGATTTGAAAAAGAAATTTGCAAAAAATGAAAAATTACTCACCCTCAATTCATTAATAATTTAAACTTATGTAAATATGAAATTTTGTAGTGTGAGGGCTAAGTGTACGGCTATGATGCCATATATTAATATTAACATAATGGGATTTTGGTAGCCATCGGATTGGTTTTAATTAAAACCATTTTCTTCTATATATAAACTAGAGTTTTTGGACTAATTAATATGCATATTTTCTATATTCCTTTTCCATATTCCAAGCATTCACATTGGTGAAGATGAAGAGCATTTTTGATTGTCCCTAAGAAGTGCTTGGATTTGGGATTTTGGTTTAGATCTAGTTTTTGCATTGTTTAGATTTAGCTTTTTCCATTTCATTTCTTTTGTTCTTTCCTTTCAGAATTTTGGTTTAAATTTAGCTTTTTGCATTGTCTAAATTTACCATTTCCTTCTAGCTTTTTGTCATTTCTCTTCTTTTGCTCTTTTTTCGTTTGTCTTTATTAGATCAACAATCTCCTCCTTTGACTCTAGAGCAGCAGTTAGTACAATTGTTTGATGCTATGCACTTGCAATTAAACAACTAAACTCAGTTGATGGCGGCGTTCATGGCATGTGGTACAACTCCTCTTACTCTTGGTGCCAATCCTCGCATTCTGTTGGAGTTCTTTCGCGGGAATTTTGGGGATGATATGTACCATTGGTTCGATCATTTCACAGTGATTGCCACATATCATTATTGGGATGATGCTCAATGTTTGCATGAGTTTCCCATATGTCTTCAAGGGACGGCATTGCAGTGGTACAATGGTTTCAATGTAGCCACTCGTGGGGATTTGAGTGTTCTCCCAGACGTCTTCAAACTCGCCTTTGGACATGCCGACAGCTGTGATAATGCCTTCCAACAATTGCATCATTTTCGCCAAGGGCTATCTAAGTTGGTGATGCAATTTGGCGTTCATTTCCAAAGTCTTTTGCTTCGTGCGGAGCCAAATATGTCAGAGCGGATCAAGCTAGGAATGTTGTGGCCAACACTTCGTTAAGATCTTGTGCATGCACTTGCTCCTACCACCCTTGACAATGTTTTTTGCTTGGCACAATGTTATGAAACATTGCCTTTTCCACTTCTTGTTGCACGTCCTTCAGCTCCACTTCTTATGGGTGATGGTTCTGTTTCAATGGAGGTTGATGCTGCTGCTACTCAAGTCCAAGGACAAGGACGAGGACATGGTTGTAGCCGTGATGTTCGCTGCTAGGTGTGTGATGAAGTTAGTCATATTTATTGGCGTTGTCGGCGTTTTCCGGATTGTCAACCTCCATTTCCTGGCTGGAGACTTTGGCATCAGCAACGTCCTGTTGGTGCTACTGTAGTGGAAGATTTGGACACCAAGTTGCATCCGGGAAACAAAGAGTCACACGAGTAACAGAGGGACTTTGCGCGAATAAGTCAGTGACCCCTCCATCTTTCTTTCGGGAGTATCATCAAGGGGTTCATTCGGTACCGATTCATCTAGTGTTTACTTTCCAAGCTCATTTTTATAACAAGAGGTTTCCTATTATTCTTTTTGTGTTAGTTGATACAGGTTCGAGTTTATCTTCTATTGCTCAACCTGTTGCCACACATTGCCATCTACACTTGCGTCGTGTGATGGAACTAGGTTTCATTCTTTATGGAAAACAGCCATACACATGTATGTGCACAAGATGAGGTGGACCTGGTTGTGTGTGTGGGCGATCTCGAGCTTGAGTTGCAGTCATTGCAGGTGGTGCCAAGTCAAGCTTTTGACCTCATTCTTGGTATGAATTGGTTGCAGCGCAATCATGCTAAGTGTGACTTTAAGGCTTCTCCCCCTTATCGCATACTTCTTTATGTTTCATCCATTCCTCTCACTTCTGTACTTCTTTGTCCCTTTACTTTTACTTTGGTTCCATTACTTTTGTTCCCTCACTATTTTCTCCTATGTTTCTGTCTTTTTCTACTCTTCTCTTTTCCGATCCCTCTAACGATCTTTGTGTTTTAGTGGTTGACCGGCTCATGACCGAGTATTTTGATCTCTTTGAATTTGACCTATTGTCTGGGGCCAAGATTGTCACATATCATCCGATTCCAACCGGGGATGCTCGTCCAAGCAAGGTTCTTGTTTGTTGTCGGTCACCCAAGGAGATCAAGATTTTACATGCAAATGTCAAGGAGATGTTGGAGAAGGGTGTTATTCGGAAGTTGCAGAGTCCTTAGGCATGTGAACCTTATCTTGTGACGAAATCTGATGGGAGTATTTGTTTTTGCATCGACTATCGTCCGTTAAATGAAGTGACAATCCCAAATATGTACCCTCTTTCTTACACTACTGATCTCTTGGATCGTCTGGGGCGAAGTCGTTGGTTCACCAAGCTAGATCTTACTTCTGAGTACTGGCAAGTACCGATGGCCGAAGAAGATATTTTTAAGACTGTTTCTCGTACATCATTTGGTTTGTACGAGTTCTTGGCGATGTCATTTGGTTTGAACAATGCTCTAGCAACTTTCTAGTGGATGATGGACAAGGTTCTTTGTGATATGCTAGAGGTGACTGTTGACTTCATTAATGATGTCTTGATCCACTCGAAAGGGACGTAAGAGGAGCACATTGTGATGTTTGTAAAGTGTTGGATCGATTATGCAATGTTGGTTTAAAACTGAAGTAGTCGAAGTGCATGTTTAGGTCCAAAAACACAACTTATTTGGGTACCGTATTTCTCATGAGGGTTTGCAAGTTGATCCTGACAAACTTGTGGCTGTTCTAAAGTTCCCTACTCCGAAGTGTGTGAATGATGTGCAGCGCTTCTTCGGCAAGGTGCAGTATCTCGGTCGTTTTGTGGATCATCTTTCTGATCGCACTGCACCGTTGCAAGCATTGCTGAAGTCATCAACGCCATCTTTCATTTGGTCTCCAAATTGTCAGCGAGCGTTCATGGATCTCAAAGAGCTATTGAAAACTCTTCCAGTTTTGGCATATCCTAACTACACTTGACCTTTTATTTTGCGTGTGGATGCTTCTAACATTAGTCTTGGAGGTGTGTTGATGCAAGAGAGCTCGAGTGTGCCTAGTCAGTGACATCCCATTGCTTATATAAGCCATACATCACAACCAGTGGAGATGAACTACTTCACGACAGAGAAGGAGTGTTTAGTAGCAATTCGGAGTTTTGATAAATTTCATACATTTCTACATGGTTCTCAGATGTTACTTGAAGGTGACCATGCTGCTGTTACCTCATTATTGTTCATTATTGTTCAAGTATCTGTGGATTTTCTAGACGAGGATTCTGTGCCGTTGGTGGTTGCTGTACTTGACGTTCAGTGTCCACAAGGCGCGGAGCAAGATCTACCTTCTCTTGATGAGGTTCGTGAGGCTTAAAAGATTGAGTTGTGGATTTGAAAGCTTTGAGATGGGTTTAAGAATTCTGCATCACTTGCTGATGACTTGCCTTTTCGGCATTTACATTCTCAATATCACCTTGAAGACGGCCTTCTTTATTTTGTGAGGACGGATCTTGATGATCATTTACGGCTGGTGGTGCTTTCTATATTTATTCCATGGTTTCTCCATGCCTACCATGATTCTCTTGTTCTAGGTGGGCATATGGGACATCGTCGTGTAACCGAGAAGTTGTGCAGATGTTTCTATTAGCCAGAGATGCGACGTGATATTATCCGATATGTGCGTAGCTACGTTTGGTGCCAAGCTCGTAATACTCCCCCTCGTGCTGTGGAAGGACGATTGGAGTCAATTACAGTTTCCCATCCATTTGAGTTTGTGGTGTTTGATTTTATGGGACCTTTTCCACAGTCAATTGTTGGTAATGTGTATGTTATTATTGCTTCTAACTACTTAACTCATTAAGTGGAAGTTGGTGCTCTTGCTAGCGCCTCTGCAACTGTTGTTGGATACTTCCTCCTCAATTGATTGGTGTTCCAGCATTTTTGTCTAGAGTGGATTTTTTCGGATAATGGTCCCATATTTATGGTTGAGGCATTTTATGTTTTGGTGTCTCGGTTGGGGATACACCACACTTTCACACCACGAGTGCTTGTCATCCACAATCAGACGGTCTGGTGGAACGGCTTGTTTGGACATTCAAAGGGATGATTGCGAAGTATGTGAACTTTTAGCATTCGGATTGGGATGGTTATTTGCTGTCTTTTCGGTATGCATATGTCACAAGGGTGTAGAGTTCTGTTAGTGCTTCACTATATAAACTCCTATATGGTCATGATCCAATATTACCAACAGAGCTGGGTTTACTTTTGCGATTGCCACAAACTGCCGATGCTAGGTCGTGGGTCAATATTTAAGGAGTATTCTTCCATTTGTTCGAGCAAAGTCTATCAAACACTTAAGCTGCATACAAGTGGAACAACAACGGTGCTACAACTCTCATCATTGTTCACCTACAAAGTACAAAGTGGATGATTTGGTTGTGAGACACAAAATCTTGAGGCCCCAAAATGGAGCCAGAAGGGCGCCATGTGGTAGTGGCCGAAGCAAAAGCCAAACGAGCGTAACACATTTGGACTAAAAGCTTCCACTTGAAAGGTTGAAAGCGGGAGTGGAACTCCCAACAAAGTGCTCGAGGAATGAGCACAAAGTGAGCAATAAGTGAGGCTCTAAAAAGGGACCCAAAAGGACCAACACATGACACGTGGAAGCGTCCGAGATGGACCCGAGATGGAGTCCGAGATGGACCGAGACGGAGTCCGAGATGGAGTCCGAGATGGACCCGAGATGGAATCCAAGATGGAGTCCGAGAAGGACCCGAAATGGAGTCC